TTGTATATATTCAAAACAACAACAATGATGATGACAACTTAAGAATTACAGAAGCAAAAAAATGTTAACAGAATATTTCACGCTGATAAGCAGTGGCCTCTCCCAAAGGTCCTGTTTAGTGCATCTAATGCAAGCCAAAATGTGTTCTGGAGCTGCAGGTGCCAAGCTACATTTTGGGCAAGTGGGTAGATTTTGTTATTATTTTCTATCTTCAATGTCTTGAGATGGCCTGTTCTAAATCTTGTTAATGTTGTTTGATGCTGTCTATTTCTGATGTTCAGAGCTCCTCCTGGGTTCACTCCACTGTACTAACTATGCCGTGGGGAAAGAAGTATTCCCACCCTCACCATTCACCCTTGAGGATAGAGGAGTGGAGAGGCGACTCTGCGTGTTTGCCTTACATCGGAGTGCCACTGGCTGATGGTTGGTGAAGCTGTAAGCTGGTCATCGGCCCTTGATTAGCTGGCGCGAGGCGCACGAGTCTTGAAACTCTTGGGTCTTCGCTCTGTGTGTGCGCCATTGGGAGAGTCCTTGTCGTGCGCGAAAATTGCTCCAGGGGTGTCCCTGTCTGCTGAAAAACCAAGGGGTGCACACAGTAGTACCACCCTCCCGCCTTCGCGTTGGTTCCCTGCGTAAACCTCAGAACCTCAGAGGTCCTTGATTCGACGACAGATTCAGGGAGTACTGTGACCAAAGGGTTCGAGGGCCGAAGGGAGGGGAGTCTTATTGGAGCGTAGGACAGGTTTAACTAAGTCCGAACGAGAGGGCTCGGTCAGCAACCTAGCCATGAACTCTCGAAGACGCCTGTGGGTTTGATTGGTCGACCCCATGGAGCCAGACCATAATGGCGGGCGCGAGGGGGCAAACAATGGCCGCTCGGTGCATGGATAATGCATCATTCCCTTTTTGGCTGGGTGACCTGGATGGGTGTGCATTCGCGCGCCGGTTTATGGACCTTTGAGGTCTGGGAAACCATATTGCTCCTAGTCTGTACTAACTATGCCGTGGGGAACGAAGAACGCCCACCCCTCACTCACCCTTGAGGATATGGGGAGTGGAGAGGTGACTCTGCGTGTTCGTCCTCGCGTCGGGGTGCCACTGGCTGATCGCCAGTGAAGCTGTAAGCTGGCCATCTGCCCTTGGTTGGCTGGCGCGAGGCGCACGTGTCTTCAAACTCTTGGGTCTTCGCTCTGTGTGTGCGCCATTGGGAGCGTTCTTGCCGTGCGCGCCATGAAAAACCAAGGGGTGCCCACAGTAGTACCACCCTCCCGCCTTCGCGTCGGTTCCCTGAGTAAACCTCAGAACCTCAGAGGTCCTTGATTCGTCGGCAGATTCAGGGAGTACTGTGAACAAAGGGTTCGAGGGCCAAAGGGGGGTAGTCCTATTGGAGCGTAGGACGGGTTTAACTAAGTCCGAACGGGAGGGCTCGGTCAGCAACCTTGCCATGAACTCTCGGAGACGCCTGTGTTTTTGATTGGTCGACCCCATGGAGCCAGACCATAATGGCGGGCGCGAGGGGCCAGACAATGGCCGCTCGGTGCATGGAGAATGCATCATTCCTTTTGGTTAGGTGACCTAGAATGCAGCAATGGGTATGCTATCGCATGCCGGTTTATGGACCGAAAGGTCTGGGTGGCCACTGCTCCAAGGATGTACTAACTATGCCGGCTTGTGGACCTTCGAGGTCTGGGTAGCCATTACTGCTCCAGGGATGTACCAACTATGCGCCGGCTTGTGGACCGAAAGGTCTGGGCGGCCATCTGCTCCAGGGGTGTACCAACTATGCACGGGAAAGAAGCCCTGTCTTGGCACCAGCCTGTTGGCTGGGAAAAGGGCAGGGACGCCCACCCCGCACTCTCCCTTCGGGATTGGGGAGTGGAGAGGCGACTCTGCGTGTCTCGTCCTCGTGTCTGGTGTGCCACTGGCTGCTCGCCAGTGGAAGCTGGCCACCTGCCTGTGGTAGCGCTGATGCGAGGCGCCACGAGTCTCTAAACTCTTGGGTCTTCGCTCTGTGTGTGCGCCATTGGGAGCATCCTTGCCGTACGCGCCACGGAAAACCAAGAGGTACACACAGTAGTGCCACCCTCCCGCCTCCGCGCGGTTCCCTGTGTCAACCTCGGAACCTCAGAGGTCCTTAATTCGTCGGCAGATTCAGGGAGTACTGTGAACAAAGGGTACGAGGGGCCAAACAATGGCCGCTAGGTGCACGGAGAATGCATCATTCCTTTGGTACAGTGGCTATATAGTAGCAGAGGGCATGCTTCGCATGCGGTTTATGGACCGAAAGGTCTGGGTGGCCATTGCTCCTGGGATGTACCAACTATGCTTAGGTGGGATCCTCCAGTTCTTGTTTATTTTTGTTTTGGCTACTGTTTCTATTTCTTTAAAAGTAAGTTTATTTTTCTGTGGCAAGGGTTCTTTTGTGACTTTTTTCTCTAGCGCATCAGCAGCTTCATTGCCTTCAATGCCAACGTGTGAGAGTATCCATTGAAGGTGAAATTTTGAGGTTTTTGAGAGTTTTTGGAGGTAACCAAATATGTTCCTGCTTACTTTGTTTCTAAGTTCTCCTGTGTGACTCAAGTGTTGTATGGGGCACTTCTACTATCAGTAAGAATCCAGATATCGTGGAAAATATAATATATATATATAATGTAAATACCATAATTAATATGTTAATAAATGATAATACTTTCTCTACAATATATAATTTTTTGGTTATATGATATACATATTATAAATGAGAAAAGATCCCACAATGCGAAAAAAAAAACGACAGTCAAGAAGAAGACAAAGAAAAATTGGGCAACGCCCATTGGTCAGTTCTCATTGCATCGCTATCTAAAGGCGCCGGTTGCAATGGTCCCCGCTCTTCCTTATTATATTATTTACTCACTGGAAGCTTGAACTGGAGAATTTTCGTATAGTTCATGTAGTCACAGCCTTTATTCAGGTCTTGCTGAAGACATAGTACAAGGTCTCCTTTGTAGGAATGTAAGACAATCTCTTGACCTCTCTGCTAATTATTATTTCCCTGATGTGATGAAATCTTATGTCAATATGTTTGGAGATATATATTATTCTCCACATTATATTTAGGAAAAGTCTATTGCATATCTATTATTGCAATGAATTAGCATGGGAACGGAAATTTTCGATAATAAATTAATATATCTTCTAATATGGCAATGATCCAAACTGCTTTCTTAGTGATTTGAGATAGCGCTATATAGCGCTTCATTATGGAAAGTGAGACACACTTTTGTTTGTGATAGATATTTCATATTGACTGGTCAATTTTCTATAATGTAAATGATGACAGTGAATATAAATATTATTTTTATCATCATCATTCTACGTTTTATTTTTCTGGCTTCTTTAAACAACGATGTCCAAAGATGTTCCACGTTGTTAGTTATACCTCATATCTAATCTAAATTACTCTCTTTTTTTTCTCCTATAAATATAATGTATAATCCATTAAGATCTATCTAAATAAATACATATGAAAAATGATTAGTTAGAGTCAAAATTATTGTTTTCAACTACGCTGTAACCCTAAATACAAAACAGTTTGCTAGTCTTCTTTATGATTTAATGCCCAACATTGATAGCAGTCCCACTATTTTATTGTTTGTCATTGATGTCTCATCAGAATCCAAGGTCACAAGTCAAGGCAACTTCATACCAAACAATTTCCCAGAACCCCATTCTATAAGGAGATAAGACATGCTGTAGAATGTTATCACTAGACCAGGAAAAACCTAGAATGCGATTCAAAATATAATTTGAAAGAAGGCAAATATGCTTCCCTGGCCTTTCACACTGATTCCTACCTCAACTACTGTGCGGCCCATTACACTCCAATACCAAGAATTCCACAGTACTGGAGGTGGACGCGTTCAATATTGACTTCATGATCTACATAAATAGAAAATGACTGTGACATTACTTTTAGGAATATAGATTGTGTGATGTTGGAGAAGCTATTAAAATAGTAATGGAATTGTACAAATATTGTTAGACAAGAAGACCTACCATCTGTATAACTCCAGATTGCAAATTCAGCCAGGAGAAGTAGGTCATGGAACAGATGAATCTGAGCTTAACAAGAACCACCCAAAACACACACACACACACACACATCATCTAAGACATGCTATTATCTTTACTCTTTTCATTTTTTTTGGATGATTCTTCAAAGCTTATATTTAATTTTCAGTTTTAAATATGTTAAAATACTTATACCTCCACGAAACGAGTTTATTATCTACCTCCTTGACTTTTTAAAATGCGCTGTGCCCTGTCTTGGTCCGTCAACTTGTTTATCATCATATCATTAGTAAATTTACATATATCTCTTAACCAAATAATCATACATTCACATATAAACGATCCAATTCTAATCTTTCTCACTCACACAAACACTAATAAAAATTGTTACCAAAGAGTTTTTTTGGAGCTATGCCAATATATGGGAATGATTGAAAAAACTTAGTTAAAATTATAACATGACAAATTTATCACATGTAATACTATTTTTAAATATACTTCTCAGACAAATTTACCTAAGACAGAAATTCGCAAATCCTATCAATTATATATTTGTAAATATTATGTATACCATATTGTAGCGCGCGATAGATTGAGCAAGTACAATTTCTTTTAACATATTCCCCATTTGATTTTTAGAACATATATTATTCTGTGTATTATCTCATACCTAATTGAAATACATTATTGTATATACATGTACACCTATCCCCCCATGTACACGGTAGATACGTTCCTGAGAAAAACGTGTAAATGGGGGATAGGTGTATATAAATTCTATACTTACCTAATTACTTTGAGAATTTACAGCCTTTATGGAAAATAAGACATTCACCCATTAAGAACACTTCTCACTCTCCCCCTTCCCTCGAGGAGAACTCTCTTTGACGAAAATGGTTTGGCAGGCTACTAACCAAAATGTATGATTTTTGAGCCCCCAAAAAAGTAATAGCCTACAGCACTTGGTGTTCCCAGGTGGTCACCCGCCCAAGTACTGACCGGGCCCAACATTGCTTAACTTAGGTGAGAACAAGAACAGATCTCGTGGTTCTTGTCTGATTCTTGTCGTCAGGTGTTTTCAATGTTTCAATGTGGTATGGCCGTAGGCCTAAAAAACTATTTTTGGGAAAATACCTCGATATATATACTCCTGCCTGTCGCGATCTGTTACCTTCCCCCCCTTTTTCATCGTGCCAGCCACCACTATTCTTTTTTTCCCTATATAATATTTCAAAGAATATTTGAAGATGATAGTCATTGTGGCTGATAATAAATAAGCTTAACAAATATGATTCCTATATATAATGTGCCCTTTAAAATATTGCTTATTAAAATATTCCAAGATTTTTAAAAAGTCTTAAGGTCTTTGGTTCATGTGCTCCATTTAAAATATACAAGAAGATTGTTTGAAAAGGTTTACATGGAGATGTCCTCGAAGTATTTTGGCCCCTGTCTCATCTTCCCAGATCCAATAAGCACCTTCTGAGAAGTTGCATGGCTCATCACTGGTTGAGCAAGTAGTGTGACTTATTTCCAGCTGTATCCTCTATGTCCATTTTGATCCAGAGTCAGAACATGCTATTGGAAAATATGAATAGTTTCAACATAGTACAAGTTCACAACTCTTATAGGGTGCCAAATTAGTTTGTACTCTAAATATCACCAGCATTATTTGCATTTGTATAGAATTACAAATATTATTTTCATAGCAGAAGGTTTCAATTTGAATTACATAGAGAGCGCAGGCCATATTTTGCTAATAGGCAGTGCACAATTCAAATAAAAAGAAAAGTCACCCTGCTATCAGCCGCTTCAGCATATGGCTGCGGCATTCCCATATATTATATATATATATTTCATCTTTATCTCTTGAAAAATTATTAGATTTCTTAAATAAATATTTTCAGTTGTGGAAGGAACTTCTTCCATAATTAATCAAAATTATATCATAATAATATGATATTGTGACATTTATTTGGAGAAGCTATAATGCTTAATATATTTTTTTTTATCTTTGTACCAAACTGAATAATAGTTCTTTCAGATTAGACTTTTTGCACACATCCGTTTTCATAAATTTTAATTATTTGCGTAATATAGATTTTTTCAAATCAATGATTTTTAGAATCGATTTTAAAAAAGATGGCAGTAAATTCAAATTTATAATTATCACACACAATTTATTTAACGATTTGGGTACGCTGCAGCCACTCGTGTTTTTGTTGATGTTTTTAGATGTAAATTTTGTTGCTCATTTTGACTTAGTAATCACGTTATTTTTCTGAATACATATAAATTAATAACACTTTAATAAACAAAAATGGGAAGATCGTCAAAAGATAAGCGAGATGTTTATTATAGATTAGCCAAAGAAGAAGGCTGGAGAGCCAGAAGTGCATTTAAACTGATTCAAATAAACGATCAATTTAATATTTTTAAAGGTATGCAGCCATTTTCAATTTTATTATTTCTAAACCATTGGTCCACAGAAATGAGTATCTTACCCAAGACTATTGGTGTATAAAATAAGTTTTTCTATATATTGAGAAAAAATCTTTTGATGAAAGAATTCAAGAATAAGTTTGTTGAACACCTTACATTTTTTCTATTTGTTGAGACTTGTAGAAGTCTTGATATTTTTCTGACAGACACAGGTTTTATAGTTTACTAGCGGACCCGCCCGGCTTCGCCCGGGTTTTACCCGAGTGAATGTTTGTCTAATGAACATTTGTTAAAACAATTCTCTTTAAACTTATAAAACGTACTCGGCTTCGCCCGGGGTTTTACCCGAGTAAAGGTTTGTCTAGCGAACATTTGTTAAAACAATTATCTAAAAACTTATTAAAAAATAAAAAAGATATATTTGATAATTTGAAACTCGTAAATTTGAATCTCTCGATAAAGTGAACATTTTTTCCCGGTCCCTGTGTGCCTTGTCATCCTGAATTTTGTCTTTCCTAATTTTCTACATCAGAAAATCATAGTTTTATCTAGTGAACATTTTTTCCCGGTCCCTTGAGAAATACTCGATAAGTTGAATAAAATCAATATTAATTGGTTCCCTCGGTAATTGGAAGTTAAAGGAATAGTATCTTCGCCTTGGAATTGTATCATTATTCTTGTCTCAAATAAATTGCCGTGTCATCCTGAGATAATCTTACTTTTGATAAATAATATTTAAGATAACAAACTTAGTGATAAGAAAACTTGTTATCATCGTCACAATGGGGGCGCTGCTTGCGAGTTAAATCTACAAATCTGCAAATAACTCTAAGGATATTCAAGATATTCATGAAATTATTTTTCAAAAACCTTCCCGGTGATATACCTAATAATATTCCAAAATTTCACGGCGATTGGATGTATGGTTTTTGAATCTATAGAGTACAGACAGACAGACATTCAATTTTATATATATAGATTAGCAGTAATTAAACGTAACAGTAAGAAAATGTTGATTTTAATATATGTAAATAGTCTCTTAAGAAAGACCACCTAAAAACATGACTCAACTTGTTTCTCCTGTAGGTGATCTCTCATTGGAGGTTCTAATTGATATTAAAGAATCTCTAATAGACCTTTAATAAGAGACTGCCTCTCGGAGAGACGGTTTAAGCTACGATTTTAGGCATCCTCTCAATGGAAGCTCTACTGTATCTACTTTTTCACACTGTTTGGCTTAATAAATGCCATTTTAACCATTTTAAATGTGTATCAATCGAGTTTTTTTTTATATTTTATATCCAAAATCACTTCATTTCAATTCATAGGGAATTCTTAACATTTTTTTTTTGTCTTCATTCAGCTCACTTTCTATTATATTTTAAGCCATTGTTCCATTATACATATTTAATACCGTTTACACTGTTTTACTTTCAAAAATGTCGATGAAATGAGTAGTTTGGTCCGGCATAAAGAAGAGGCATATAATCATTTTTTTCTATATGCATGATAATATTATTTCAATTTTATATATATAGATAGATAGAGATTTACTCTTCATTGTTGGCTTTTTATCTTACATTCATTCTTCATTGTTGGCTTTTTATATTACATTCACTCTTCATTGTTGGCTTTTTATCTTACATTCACTCTTCATTGTTGGCTTTTTATATTATATTTACTCTTCATTGTTGGCTTTTTATCTTACATTCATTCTTCATTGTTGGCTTTTTATATTATATTTACTCTTCATTGTTGGCTTTTTATCTTACATTCATTCTTCATTGTTGGCTTTTTATATTACATTTACTATTCATTGTTGGCTTTTTATCTTACATTCACTCTTTATTGTTGGCTTTTTATCTTACATTCATTCTTCATTGTTGGCTTTTTATATTACATTCACTCTTCATTGTTGGCTTTTTATCTTACATTCATTCTTCATTGTTGGCTTTTTATATTACATTCACTCTTAATTGTTGGCTTTTTATATCATATAGAAAATCATAGTTTAATCTAGTGAAGATTTTTTCACGTGTCACATTGCCGTGTCATCCTGAGATAATCTTACTTTTGATAAATAATATTTAAGATTAATTGGTTCCCTCGGTAATTGGAAGTTAAAGGAATAGTATCTTGCCTTGGAATTGTATCATTATTCTTGTCTCAAATAAATTGCCGTGTCATCCTGAATTTTGTCTTTCCTAATTTTCTACATTACAAAATCATCGTATCATCATGATAATATTTAGAGCAGATTGTTGAATTATAACAGATAAATTAGAATATTTATCTTGATTATTTCTAGGCGAAAAGTTATTTCAAAAATTTTATTTGCTAGAAACCTTCCCAGTACTATACTAAATAACTTCCCAAAGTTTCATGGCGATCCAATGAGTGGTTTGGTCAGGCATAAAGGACAAACAAACAAACAAACAAACAAACAAACAGACACACATACATTCATTTTTATATATATAGATAATTTTGCTGGAGGAAGATTTTCATGTACAAAGAGAAAACCTTTTTGATTAAAATGCATCAAAACAATGATTTTATTTATCATCAATGACAATATAAAGCCTTGAAGTGGTGATAAATAATTTTCAACAACTTGGCAAAAAGCTAACCTGTATACCATTGGTTTGGATTATGGTACTTATCAGTACAGATCATTGATTTCATACATTCCTATGAGAGGCCTGAGATTGGTCAATTTTGCCAAGATCTTTCAGTTATTTATTTGATAGAATCTGATCTTATACCAGAATATACAATATAACCTCGTTAATTCAACATGATCCCCCCCCCCGATTCTTGCAAAAGTCCAACCCCACCAGCGAGTGCAAGTAACCAAACGGGGCTCTGGCACATTTGTAAGTGCAAAGTCGAACTGCTTTCACATGTGTAGACATGTGGTGCGCTTACAGTAAAAAAAAGCAGTCGCTAACTACCCACCATGATTATCATGGCCTGTACCACGTGTACTAGGGATAAGCAAAAAAAAAAAAAAAATTTACGCTTTACGATAATTTGACCATGTTTTGATATCCCAACCTCTGGCCTATCAAATAATAAATGGTAATTCGACACTATCAATAATTCAAACATTTTAAAATTCAAATTTCTACAGTTGATTGTTGTTTACATACAACTTTACCACAAAAAAGGCATTACAGAGGTAAGAGGCCGCTGCAGAAAGGTGAACTTTAGGATTGTGCCTGCGCAATTTTGGTTTCTGGTTATAAACACAAGGTAATAAGACCAAATCCAAATAAATAAATAGTGTGTGACGTTTCTGTAACAGCCTTGTTACCATCTTCAGACAAAAGTACTGAATGAGAAATTTTACCACAGCATGGTTTAAATAGTTCCTGTTATCAAGTGTGTAAACAAGATAATAGATAAGAAGAAGATATTATTCTTATATAAAAACATGCTGTGGTAAAATTTCTCATTCAGTACTTTTGTCTGAAGATGGTAACAACACTGTTACCGAAACGTCACACACTATTTATTTATCTTGATTTGGTCTTATTACTTTGTGTTTATAATATATAATCCAAATTGTGCCTTATCAATTTTAGATTAATAATAATATTTTCTTTTTTTTTTACTATCAACATG